AGCATTGTTTCCCTCGATCGTAGTCGAGAGTCGTGGCCCTACGATGCATGAATCTGATCCCGCAATAGTTCCCCACGTGGTCATAAGAGAGGTAGTAGTTTCCAGGTCAAGAGTCTCCTCTTGCAGAGTGTTTTTCTTTCTCTTTTTTATTTTTTACTTCTTTCGAGTGACTCTCGTGAAGTTAGGAGGACACGTGGATAACAGAAACTTTCGAGAGAAGGAGAGAGGAAAAAGAGAGAATCACTTTCTCTCTCGACGTCTTTCTTCCTCTCGGTTTGTTCCGAAATTGTTCCTCCCTCCCTCTCCCTCCCCTCTTCTCTCTCTCTTTCTCTCTCTCGTATCCTTTGTTTTTTCGCTCTTGTTATTCTTACTGGCTGCATTTGACGATCTTTTCCCCCTCGGCAAGCGACGATTGAAAGTAAACTATCGATACGCCCGCTACAATGCCACGAGATCGCAATAGTGCGCGGCATTGTCGCGGCTACGTACGTTCATACAACAATATCCGCGTAGTTTTTAAAACGTTTAGCTAAGTGCACACCGCCCCATTATCGACATTAATAAACGTCCCTTCTCTTGCCCGATCTTGTCGATCGCCACTCGACTCTGCGAGTCGTGCACGCGCGACTCCTCGAACTCTGCTCGACGATGCGATGCATTCTAGCGATTGCAAATCAGTCTCGGTTTATAAAACTGGCGAATGTTTCAAACAATGTAAAACATCTGCTATCCTTTGATTCGAGAAAAATAATAAGATAAAGCAAAAAATATAAAGTAGGTCTCTTTCTCTTTTTTTCTTTTAAACGAAATAAATAATTTGTTTAAACTCTTAGATTTCATTTAAAAAATAATTATAATATTTTCAAATATATTTTTAAGTACTACTTACGTATTTTATATTCTAATTGTATAAGTATAGAAATTTAATTGTAATAGGTAATAGATACGAAATTAGCTGCATCTTTTAATTCGCCTTTTTACAATACACTATGACTCTGATTCATTTATTATCAAAGCTACTTTGTACGTACATATTTTTGCTCATAGCAAGCTGCACAGACAAATACACAGGCGTGTCAATTGTGAAAACTTTATTAACAATCTCGCGCGAAAGAAATATCGAATGCATTGGCGACAACGTTGGTAGATTAAACCTCGAATAGTTCCGCCATCACGCTTGAACGCACGGCAGTCCCGGTTGGTGGATAATTCGTTGAAGGAAGATACGAATGATCTGGTTGGGGCCAGAAACGGGAAAGGGGGAACACCGGGTGAGGAAAGGAGGAGGAGACGAGAAGCTGCCTGGATTGCATGGATTCCCCTCCACGAGTAAAATGGTCCCGCGTTTAGCTCCTGCCTTCCGAACGTTCTTTAGTAAGGAGATGAGCTTTAGGAGGGTTCCTCTCTCTCTCTCTCTCTCTCTCTTCTTTCTCTTTCTCTTCCATGTTTCTCTCTTTCTCTGTCTTATTGTTTCCGCTCGTTTATCGCAGCAGGTCACGAAAACATATTTGAAGCTATGACACTTTTAGAATCTCTAAGATTTAGAGATTCTGTTCATTAAAAGGTACAAAGATGATATGTTGCCGCAACTAAAGAACTCGGGATAATTTATATATGAATGCATGAAGGGATTGAAAGGGAAATCGCTGAGTGAATTATTCCCTACAAATAATTCACACATGTCAATATATTCCTTATAAATTCATACGATTTAATTGATTTATTTCAGATGGGAAAGTCGATACGTATATGAAGTATAAATAAATATCTTTTCATTGATATTATGTAAATAGAATATTATTCGATTAGTATAATCTCTATTTAAATCATACTTACTAATTTTTTAAATTATCGTTTATTCGATACGTTATTAAAATTCAATGATTAAAAAACATTCTGAATAACTTGACGTTATTTCAAGGAAATTTATTAACGATTCAATTGCGATGTATATATTATCGGGCACACACACACACACACACACACACACACACACACACACGCGCACACACGCACGCACGCACGCACGCACGCACGCACACATATATATAACAATGAAAAGAATAAAATATAGGCTAATAAAAATCAAATGCAAATGTTAATGCGCAGATATATTCAAAAGCATATAAGATAGAAATGCAATAATAAGAATAAAAAAAGAGACAGGAATAGGGCAATTTAAACAATTTAAAATAGGAAAGCGTGAAAGAGGATGAGAGAGAGAAAGAGAGAGAGAGAGAGAGAGAGAGAGAGAGAGAGAGAGAGAAAGAGAGAGAATGAGGTAGGAACAATATTTGTAAATAAAATCCTCTTAGTATTTTTGTATGCTGATATATGAATGCTAAAGAGAATAAATTCTATTTCATTCTCATATTGGAATCTTTAAACGACTTGGATATATCAAAAATGGTGTATTATAGATAATTTTGGTTCGTGTTGGTGCTGATTTACTCCTCTATTTACGCTCTTACGATAGATTTTCTCCCGTAAACGTTCAAGCTCCGCGTCGGCATTAAACTCGCGTGTATACCGCATAGAAAGCGATGAGCAACGTGAGAGGAGCGCGACTTGGCCCCGTGATAGTAAAGACGCAAGATGGGGAATGGGGTGGGGAAGGGAGAGAGGGTTAAGGCGGTTTTAATTATCGCTTAAGACACCCTCGTAGCGTTAACCCCGTACCGTACAGATACTGACGGAGGGCCGCCCCCTAAGGATATCGTTTGCAGTGCACGGTTACGAAGGAGTAACTCAGGGCTGGGGGATGAAGACGAGGGGGATTTCGGGAGTAACGGGGAAAGGGGGAGCGAGGACTGGGAACTTGTACGCTAACGTCGCATTCGATTCTCCTCGGTACATCGGGGGTGGAAGTTCGAAGCAACCACCAACCCTACCGAGCCGCGAGAACTTTGCCGCTACTAGCGTGGCCGTCTGCCAGATACTTCCTCGAGCGAGTCACATGGAGGAGGAAAGGGTGGCTCGAGAGAGGCAGGGGTGTATCCCCGGGGTTTGCCGCTTATACGACGATTATTACGGACGTTTTCGTTACCTTCGAGTTTCGTGAGCGCTTCTAATTTGATGTTATATATGGAAAACGTAATACACTATCCCATGTCGACAATGTTATCTTAACAGCTATTTGCAACTTCTTGGCGTTATTTATTGTGCATATCGAGAGTAATTCAGAGAAACGTATCGAAGCACTAGTTTTTGATACTGTAAACTAAATATTAATTTCACCGACATTTTCACTGAAGCTTTTTTGCTTTAAAATTTATTATTTTTATATCACGAATATATTGCGACAATTAGAAAATATTTTTATAAAGAAATAGAAAGAGATACGTAAATCAAAACCATTCTCTTTTATCGAAAAATATTTTCATCCGTTGAATGATGAGGTAATGTTTTTTGCAATAAGTTATTTGCAAGCTCTTAAAATGCTTATATTAGCATTATTAAATTGACGATCAATCTAATTTGAGATTAATATTTCCGCTTCAGTTTGCGATTGCGTTTTAAATCCTACAAACCGAATCGGTGCAGAATTTATAAAATTGAGAAAAGTATTTGCAAAACATTTGCAAAACATTTACTAATATTTTTAAACATCAAGATCTACTTTGGTAAAAAAATGTAATTATTTCTCTTAATTGATTTTTCAAGTGATATTTTTAATCTAACAAGATTATTTTTTAAAAAGATTTAAATTAAATCCTAAGAAATGATATAAAACAGTGTGTCCACAAATAGTGTGATAATAGGTCAATGAATAGAAAGCAAATTCTTTATCATTTCATATATAACATATATATGGAATATATAAATAAAATATGATATAAATAAATAGAACACGTTAAAGTCAATTAAAACGAGAAAAACAAATCATTTTACGATTCCTTATCACCAACTGTATATGTATAAAAAAAATATATGAAACAGAATTGATTACGTAGAATATAACAGTCAATAACAGCATCAGTGTGTCACGTGTCACATCGGGCCAGACTCTGACTCGAGTTTCTCCAGGCGAAGAGGAGGTAGTCGTGGAATGACAGTGGCGTATCTCGTGGGGGTGGCCGGCAACTGGCGTCGGGACGCCCGTCGTCTTATCGGGCACCCCCTTGCCTGTAGCTTCCTCCAACCCTCGTCATCCTCTCTTCGTTCTACCTCCCCCCCTCCCCCCCGTGTGTCTCCTCACCGTCCTTCCCCCTCACCTCGTCGTCGTAGCGAGCCCGGTGACGCCTCGACGCGCTCACCCAGAAACCGACGATAAGGTTCACTCGGCGACGCCTGCCTATATCGCCCGCTCGTTCACATACGCACACCGATACGTACACGCAAGCACACATACACGCGCAGATACACGCGCGAGCGCATCTCGCGCGTAGGAATTGATATAAGAAACTCGAGGAAGGGGAGGAGGGTAAGCGCCACGAAACCACAAATCGTGCGACGCGTTATCACGCATGCTGATATCGATAATATATCGGCCCTCTCCTTATCGGGAAGGATTTCTGGAAGGCATTAGCTTGCCGAGTAATATCGCGAACAGATTTGGAGATGATAATACTTATCGATATTTCGACAAAAATTATCTAAGTACTATCTACTAATTTGTGACTTTTAATCAACTTTCGATTAATTCGAAAGAAAATTTTTTGATGATTGCGAAAAGTTGCTTTGAATCTTTTTTGAGATGGATTTTTTTTCTTTGGACGAATCTTCGGATGTTAGCGATTGATATAATATTTAATATTCAATATTAAATCCTAGTAGACAAACTTTGAAGTTCCAAAGATAAGGCTTGCTTTTAGTGTTTAACTGTACAATAAATCTCTTTAATTCTACCCTCGAATGTTAATCCGTGAAAGAGGAGCCCTTAGCACGAAAATTATCGTATATAACTATATAACACGATAAAAGAAGACTCGAGATTGCCCGTAATAGCCGCTCGCGCGAAAGACGTTGATAATAGTGCACGATGCGTTTTATTATTACAGTAACCGAGCTCGAGGGTGGCGCGCACTCGGACGAGACGAATAGCGGTGGTGACAACAGCAACGCTGGCAGCGTGTCAGGCGGCGCCGATGACGATCAGGCGCGTCTTCGCCTAAAGAGGAAACTGCAAAGGAATCGCACGAGCTTCAGCAACGAGCAGATCGACGCGCTCGAGAAGGAGTTCGAGAGAACGCATTACCCGGACGTATTCGCCAGGGAAAGACTTGCCGGCAAGATCGGCCTACCGGAAGCGCGAATACAGGTGACTATTCAGCGCAGCGTTCCTTAACTATAAGAATGTTTAGATCCGTTTTCACAATATGTGGTTATCCAAAGATTAGCAACTAAATTAAAAGGAAATAATATTTTATATTGATAATGAAATTGTAATAAGAAACATAAAAAAATTATACAAAGTGAGAAAACAGTAATTATTTGTGATAAATATAAATAATTTGATAAAAATAATAATTTGAGAAAAATGAAAACTAATTTAGTTGAGAAAAAAATCTTATTGATATAAAAAGTATGTCATCACTATAATAAGAAAACATACAATAGGAACGTTTGTAATACACATAATTATAATAAACACAATGAGAATGGAGAGTATGAGAAAAATAGTCATGTAATAATCTATAAATATATCTATTAAATATAAAAAAAATAATTATTATAGAAATATTATTAATATAAAAGTCAATCATAGGATGTCATTAATGAAGAAATATAGTAACATTAATCGTTTGTAGCAAGTACGTACGATGAGACTAGAGTACGAAAAAAGTGGTAACGTAAAATAGTTTGATTAATAAAAAATATTATTTTTGCATGTATAGGATATCATTACGGCATAATGACTAAAAAATAAAAGAAAATTATTTATTTAAATTTTAAATCGAAAGAATACATTTATGCTAATCTACTGCATGAAGTCTATGTATAATTATATCAATATTATAATTTTGCTATTTCAGTATTATTTAATACAATAGTTACGTATAACAACTAATGAAATGATATTCAACGTTAATATCCAACGTTAGTGCTCCGATATTTGCTGCCATGATTATATTTTGACTAATTCTAGTATTTTACTTTAGTTCATATATTTTTATAAACCTAATTGCGGGGATGCTGGCAAATTTGATTAATGTCGATAAGATAGACAAATTAAAAATGTTAATAATAGCAAAATTTTCAACTCATTTTCTTGCCTTATCATTCTATCTAACCCAAATGCATAAATCTGTTCTGATTTAAATTTAACATATTCTAGCGCCATCTCTTGCAAGATCGAGCACCTATTAGGTGTACAACTTTGCTTCCGCCGTTATAGATGGCTTTAACGGTAAGTGATGGTCGAAATAAATAAATCATAGACGTCATACAATAAACTTGGGCATCTGTCAACATAAGAAAGAAATATAAATAGAAACATTAGTCGATTTGTGTCTGCATCATAAAGTTATTCTCGATTGAAAATGTCAGTTTACGAGCCAAATTGTCGTCATTTGCGGGAGGTTTTAATTTTCTGCTTCAATATGAAGAAATCTGCGGCTGAGACTCATCGAATGCTCTCAAATACTTATGGTGAGGCCACTATTAGTAAAAGAACGTGCCAGGAATGGTTTCAACGCTTCAAGAACGGTGATTTTAACGTCGAAGACCGACATAGTGGAAAAAAGATTTTCGAAGATGCAGAATTGGAGGCATTACTTAATCAAAATTCGTATCGAACTCAAGAAGAATTGGCACGATTATTGGGAGTGAGTCAATCAACCATTTCAAAACGCCTCAAAGCCATAGGAATGATTCAGAAGCAAGGAAATTGGGTACGAGTTGAAGCCGAGAGATGTTGAACGACGTTTGTTTGCTTGTGAACAGCTGCTTGAAAGGCAAAGACGGAAGGGATTTCTGCATCGCATTGTGACTGGGGGCGAAAAATGGGTTCATTACGATAACCACAAGCGCAGAAAATCATGGGAAGTTCCCGGCCATGCTTCCACGTCATCGGCCAAACCGAATATTTATGGTTCCAAGGTCATGCTATGTATTTGGTGGGACCAGTTCGGCGTAGTGTATTATGAGCTGTTAAAACCTACTGAAACAATCACAGACGATCAGTATCGAATGCAATTGATGCGTTTGAGCCAAGCATTGAAAGACAAACGACCGCAATACAACGAGAGACACGATAAAGTGATTTTGTATGCTCGACCCCATGTTGTGAAAGTGGTCAAGACATACTTGGAAACGTTGAAATGGGAAGCCCTACCCGTCGTATTCTCCAGACCTTATTCCCTCTATCACTTGTTTGAATTAATGGCACACGGTCTGGCTAACCAGCACTTCCAGTCTTATGAAAAAGTAAAAAAGTGGATCGATTCGTGGGTCGCCTCAAAAGATGACCTGTTTTTTCAATCCGGGATTCATACGCTGCCTGAAAGATGGGAGAAAGTAGTGGCCAGCGATGGAATACTTTGAATCATAATGTATAACCTGTTACAATAAAGCCTCGAATTTCGGAAAAAAGGCGGAAGCAAAGTTGTACACCTAATACTACTAGATACAATTACTGCTCTGCACTTATATTTCACGTGCACATGTGCATAAAAGCATTTTAATCTAAATTCTTTTTTTATAGGCTTTTAATCTTAGTTTTATTAATATAATGTTCTTCTTTCATGTATTCCGCATAGTGGCATTGTTTCGTTTCACACATATGACTTACAATTACAGAATTTTTTACTAATCACACATTGTTGTGAATTGACATCCATACTTAGTACAGTGCAAATATAAATAACATTAAATGTACATTTTATATATTTATTCTTAGCATAAAATTGTCAGTTCCCACTATTTCTTAACTTCTACTTGTCTACTTTTATTGTATATGTATAAGATTTTTACGATTCTGTAAAGACAATTTGGAAATAAGCAAAATGTAAATGTCGGTAATTCGCTTCAGTCCAGCATCCCCTTGACTCTTCATCAGCAATGTGAAATTTTCAATCTGGATTCCAAAATAGGACGTTGAGATTTAGATTTTTTTATTGTTTCAGATTATATAAAAATCTGAAAACATTCTTGTATATTTGTGAATCAATAACAACAAATTTTTACCTTAATAAAAGCTGGATTGTATTTTACTTATTTTGTTTACTTTCTTTATATGCATTAAAATTAGCATCAAAAGATGTGAAATACAAAAAAATCAAATTTTTTATTCGCACAAAATCTTACGCGATCTACTTTCTTAAAATTCACAATAAAAAATCAAATGTGCCTTAAAAGGATAGCATATTGCTGGTGAGTTACATCGAGAAGGTTATATTATTATTGCCAAAATTATATTTTATAATACTTTCTTTGAGTGTAGATCGAAACTATCGAATAAATGACGAGAATAGTCTGATAATTTATAAGAAAATTAATAATTATTATAAAATATATCAAGGCTATAAAAAAAAAACAAAGATCGTACCCGTTTAATAATTTTCAAATTAAAGACCATTTATTATAGCTAAGTATGAATTTTATTATTAAAAGATTTTAACCTATTTATGTCAAGGTTTCAATTATTCTAAACGTCAAATTAATCATCGTTTTTAAAGGTATAGTGAATTTTTTTAGATATTTCACCAGCAATTTATAGGTATTTCGTTATTCGTTTTAATTCGATATAAAAATCCACTATGTATTTTTAATTCTTAAAACTGCTAATTACAACTTATGACTATATAAGAGAACAAGTGGTTGACAGTTTCTGAAGAAAAACAGTATTTTTTGTAACTGTAATCATATTATTTTAATTTATTTATTTCTAACTAATATCGATTTCTTATCATTCTTATTGAAACCAGCGTTGACGTTTGATTCTACATCGTCCCACGTATATACAGGTCATTTTATCACGACTACCAAGATCGAAGATCACGAAGCTCGGTGATGTTCTTAATTAACATAGAGTCGACACATTATATGATTGAAAGATCTTCGCAGGGAGTAACGTGTTTTCGCGACGAACCGTTTTATCCACGACTGTTAGCCGATACGAAAGTTATCCGTAGCCTAGCGATTGACCTGTATCTTCGTCTGTCTTCTCGTTCACTAACTCAGGTCTGGTTTTCGAATCGGCGGGCCAAGTGGCGGCGCGAGGAGAAATTGCGCACGCAACGGAGGGATAATCCACCACCGCCACCGCAGCAGCAGCAGCAACAGCAACAACAGCAACAACAACACACTGCCGGCGTGAGTCTAGTGGGTGCTGGCCATCCGACGCCGCCGCCACCCTCGGGGATACTCGGGGGCCAGCCGCCTCCACAAGCACCACCCTCACCACCTAGAATACATCATGGGTTTGCGCCCACCGCTGTGTACCCCGGAATACCCAGCATGCCTGATTCGTACAGGTGAGAACGCAAAAGTTTGATGTTCATCTTTTGAAAGTTTTTCCTAAACTATTCGAGATGGATACTGATTCAGTACTTGGTTCTGCCATCAATTGTCTGGTTATTTTTATGATTCAATCTATTTTATTTAAATGAATTATACATAATATTTAGTAATTTAAACTCTGTATGATCGGTTTTGACGTAATAAAAGAAAACTCTCACACTTACAATTAGAAAAATAATAATTAAAATATTGAAAAAACGTAACACATGAACTATCATAAAGTACAAAGGAAGTAAGAAATATAAATACATTGCATGAACTAAGAAAACAATAATGTTAACTGTATAGTGGTTAAATATGGTAAAATAAAATAAAAAATAATAATGTAGAATAGACTTATTAACGAAATGTGCGAGAGTTATTCCAAAATTACAACGAGCAACAATTTTTTATGAATTAAGATTTATAAACAATACAACATAACACCTATTACCGCAACTGTTTATGAAAAATGAACAGCGCACTACGTGATACTAAAATGGTCCCATCATCAAGACATATTCGATTCGAGCAAAATGTGTTGCTCTCTTTTGCACTTCGTAAAGAATTATTTTTGACAGAGGAAGAAACGACTAGGAATCATGTGAATGCAACAATTATCATTTCCTTTGACAGCCCGATGACGTCGATGCCGAGTTTCACGATGTCGGGCGCCAGCCAACAGAATCAGCACACGACGAGTAGCATGTCCTCGCTATCCACCGGGGGTGGCATGAGCCCGATGGGTATGACCGTGGGTATGACCGTCGGACCGAGTCCTGGCGCGTGCCTCCAACAACGGGATAATGGCTATTCGTGTGGAGTCGCGAGACCACCGAGCTACGAGCCCCTTCACCTTGGTTACGGTGCCAGGCCAACCTGCAGCCCTACGCAGCCCTATCACGCGGCGAGCCTCAATCAGTACAATCAAAACGCCAGCTCGACCGGTGAGTGTCTACCGCACTCACTGCATTCGCTGCTTGCACTCTAGCCGATGGACTACTACTACGGCTACCATGGATAACACGCTATCGAGCCCGCCGGTAATGGATTATACACGCTTCTGTCACTCCTTCATCACCCCAAATGTCTCATCCCCGATCGAACGGTTTCGATCGTTCCAATCTTCCTTTTTTACTCCTTACCTGAACATCCAGTACAAGTGTGATCTAGCTTCGTGTCCATACACCTGCATCGTATACATCAGCCGCCTGAGCGCTTGTTGTTTCTATTCGGTAATTAACTGATTGTAGATGTTAATATCAATGTGCAATATATATTAAGTTGTGCGTATCTTGTAAACATTTCGTTCAATCTGCTATTACCATACTATTTCTTTTAGGCTCTCGTCTTTTGTGTTATTATTTATGTACTTTTTAGAGATATTGAAATAGTGAAATAATTACGAGAAAGAAACTTTACATACACATGGTACTTAACGAAAAAAATTTCAAATCAAGATTTTGATAAAAATGCTTTTATTTTTCGTATTATTATCTATTTATCTCTTAACACGTTAAATGCTTAATATTTTCTTTTATCTCCAGCGATGTTAGAGTAACATTTTTGTAACAGAGATAATCACACTTTAATAACATGTATTATATATAATATAATTGAATTATACTAAATTATTGCGTATTTTATTATTTTAGACAATTCGATTTTTAAATTATAAAAATTACAAAATTATAAATTTTTTTTTTTTTTTTTTTTTTTTTTTTTTTTTTTAATAGCACCGATCATTGATGACCGGCATGGCATTTAATATGATAATGAAATAATGAAATGATGAAACAATATTCTAATAGATACGAAAAGAGGACAATCGTACATATACAAATATATATATATATACACACACTATTAAAAATTAAATCAACTACGAAGTTAATTTTTTTAAACTTGCATGTAATTCTTACATGAAATTTTATATAAAATTAAAGAATACTATGAATAGAATACTATGAATTCTCTTGCAGGTCTAATATCACCTGGCGTGAGTGTGCCGATCGCGGTACCAGGTCAACCGGCACCCGATATGGCGGCGCAATATTGGTCACCGAGGCTGCAGTGACCGTGGTGGTCGTCGATGTCGACCTCATCTCCGTAGACTTGAGCTTCTTCATCTTTCTAGCTTACCGTGTCGCGCACGAGAAAATGACACACGGTCACGCGATCGTGAAGCGTCAAGTCTCCGGAAATCCACATGTTATGGTCGATCATGCGTGCGACTGTTCCGTAGTATAATATAAATTAAATCGAAGTGGGCTATCACACCCGTACGTCTCGTTCAAGCCAAAGTTCCATGTGGAAACGAGTTTGATCTGTCCGTATTCGCGTCCGCTCTATTCTCGTTTTTTATCTTATTTTATTTTATTTTTTATCAGACGAGTGCATTATTTCGGAAAATTTCGAGAAAACGTCATTGCGAATTCGCTGGCGCTTACTAATGAAGATCATCCGAAGCACAAAGATCTCAGTTTATTCTGTCACTTCCGGTGAGGACGAGGAACTAGATTCATAACTGAATGGCTCTGGCGCTCTCCGTTTGTGTAAATTAACAACAAATCTACAGTGTAGTACTCGTGTAATTACAATATAAGCCCAGCAAACGAGAAATTATTGAAAAATATTGAAAATTATTTATTAAAATGATGTCGAATCAAGTTTTTGAATTTTTTAAATCTATTTTCTATCCAAGATATAAGAAGATAATCTGGTTGAATGATATGGTAATTACGTATTGGTAATTTACTTTTAATATTTTATTCAATGTTCATCGCAATGAATGTGCAATTAATTCGTTTGAATTTAATTAATAATATAATTCGGTTGAAAAATTGTCTAATATGGGAGATTCACCAACTGCTAGTCACTGATCTCGGCAAATGATATCGTTGAAAAACACGCATAGAGGTGATATACATAAGTCATTGCCTCCCAAACAAAAACCCCGGTGTGATATACAGTGTAACATTGCGGATCAACGGCGACAAGATAATTTCTAGACATAATCCTGGCCACGATGGCAGGTTATATCCGGGAGTCGCCCTGTTGCTGTGAATCCGTAATGTTTTATACCTGTATATAATACTAGAGCTCATTCAGGAAGAAACGATTCATATATCTGTGATCACCTTGGTGCATACTTTCCAATGATAAATCACTTTCTGAAATCGTGAGTCTAGCATTTCATTTCTGAATCCATGTGAATCCACTAGAGTTCACATTATATTTATCTTATTATATTTATCTAGACGCATAGAAAACGGATTCAGTGTATTCAGTCTCTACAAAATTCAATACCTTTTTCGCGGATAATACGAATTCGAAAACTTGATTCATACGGATTTATACAATCCAATCCGTTCTCGTTTGCTGGGAGATGCGGCATTGAGTTTACAGGCGGATTAATTGACCTCTGTGTATAATCGTGTTTTATCGCCGTCAAATCGAATTTCCGTGTCCCATGCTGAATAAAATCGATATCTTCGCTATTGCGATACATTTGCTATTGCGACACTTATCGATCATGTCCTTCATTGTTATCATAGACGAATGACTAATGCTGCTTTCCTACACTTTCACTAACGGTGTTTGGTATCGTAATGTGCGAAGAGACACTCTCCTCTTTATTTCGATGTTATACCAGAATGTAAGTCATAGAAACACACAATCGTTGTTAGACGTATTAATACGCCAATCTGTGACAATCCGTGATTTTCATATGACATAATACATGAATGATCGGCAAGGTGGAAAAATCTCTCAAAGCATCATCTGCATATGTACACCTTTGTAAGCTCGCTTTTAATTCATACAATTATATCTCCGAGCCGAGATATCTTTGAAATAGAACTGATGAACAAGGTGAGACGCGGTAGAATAAAAAAAAAAGAAAGAAAAAGAATACGAATCGTCGGCAATGTGCAACTCGTGTAAAAATAATTAGCGCGAAGATTTAAGAGGAAAAGAATCGCTCTCGAGGATTTCCGCGGAGAGTTTTTATTCGCAACGTTTCGTAGGTGTAACTCCTATAAACAGGAAGAGAAGAAATAAAATAGTTTCTAAGTCGATATTGTGTTATTATTTATACTCGTGAAACAAGAATGCCAAGAGATAATAAACATGATTTTCTTGTGTGTCATCGTGTAAGGAGAATTATTCGTTTATATATACATTATGTATATATAACATATATATATGTACACATATATATATATGTATAATTATTTATATATAATAATTATATGTATAATTGTTTTATAATTACATATATAATTATTTTATATATATATATAATTGACTCTAATTCTCTAATAAATTGATAAAACCAATTCGTAATTTATATTCGGTGCAAGGTTCGAGAAAAAAAAAGGAAGAAGAACCGGACGTGCCAATTGTGATTTCTCTTAGGTCTCTCTTAAAGAGATGCTGGAACATCTGGAGTGACGGCCAACTTGATCAATGTTGATAAAACAGATTTTTAATTCCAAATAAAACATTACGTACATTAAGAAAATATTACCTATTAAATAAAACATTATGTACATTAAATAAACCATTAAGTAAAACATTACGTACATTTCTTGCTTGATATATATTCTATATAGCATGAATGCTAGGTTAGGTTATGTACACTCAGCTTCTACTTTTCCAATCATTTCTCTTGTACGTTTCAAAATCATAATTTAAAGATCTCATTATATTCTTATACATTATTCAACTGTAGGAAAGTATTTTTTGTTTAGATATATAATTATTGAATTTATTTATACAAATATATTAAAGCTCTAGAATACTCTAGATATACCGAAATAGCGCAAAGGTCCTCCATTTTCGACTTACTAACCTCATATACCAATAATACTTATTCAGCAGATTCAGCTACTAGATCCAAAATGACGATCGAAATAGTCAATAGGAAAGTTGTATTTCGATTCAGATAAAAGAATTGTGCTATTTTGATAATGAATAGATAACATATGTAATATACTAAAAAATTGTATTTATTACTATTTTTTACTTCATTTTTGTTAGTTTTTCGTACAAGTTTGTACTTTCCTACAACTATTTGCGTTTTTTTCTTTTACTAGCACGCAGCGCGCATTACGCGCGTGTCTTTCATGTCTTTCATTTATTTTATTTATTAATTATTATTTCGAATACGATTTTTTCAATAACGAATTTTAGAACACAGTTATTATAATAATAGCTTCTTTAATAACTAGAGAAAAAAATTTCAGTATTTTTAAATTTTATAAAAATAAACATGATAGATTTTAGAATTTAATTTGATTAATTCGAAAGAACAGAACAGAACAAAACAAATTATTTTATAATCAAAATAATAATGATAGTAATAAGACATCTGAAGAACATAAAAAGGTGTATTATATCAATAAACTGCAAAGATTTTAAATATTAAATTAACTGCTTCTTTGTTAATATTTTAATAATAATAATATTTAGTAAGTTAGTTCCTTTTTAGTCGACTTAACTCCGGCTATCGTTATTTCTTTTATCTCATTGTCTTACATACAGTCGAAATGTGCTACGTGTATAATGTTCGTAAACATTGGTTTTCAATAGATTTCCTCGTCACCCTAGAGGTACTATTGTTGACGCGTTTTTTTTTTAAGTGGTATCCCCAGTAGGCCTAGTCCACTAATAAATGAAAACACATTTAGTCCGATTTTTTAATTTTTTTAATTTTTATAATTTTTATAATTTTTATAATTTTTATAATTTTTATAATTTTTATAATTTTTATAATTTTTATAATTTTTATAATTTTTATAATTTTTATAATTTTTATAATTTTTATAATTTTTATAATTTTTATAATTTTTATAATTTTTATAATTTTTATAATTTTTATAATTTTTATAATTTTTATAAATTTTGTAATTTTTTATGGATTTTTTCTATAAAATTATTCTTTTTATTGTATTGTTCTTTTTATATTGTTATTCGAGAATTTTCTTTTATTTTAGGGAAAAAGCATTTCTTTTTTTTATTCTACATATATATAAGAAAAACGAAGATTAGAAAAGTACGAATATGCGTTCCGTCGGGGTAATTCCAGCATCCCTTTAAGTACAATTATACGTTCTCTAAATAAATAGTGTGTGCATTTAATCGAGAGTGCTCTCAATACTTGTTTTCTAATTGGAGAATTTATTTGCGGAATTCCGACATGTGGTAATCGCTCTTCTGTTATAAATATTAAATCTTGATTATACAAAGATAATCGAGTCAGCCACACGCGCGCGTCTAATATCGATTTGTTAGGCAAACGAAAGTAACATTCATGTGCAGTTTCCTATTAGAAATCAAGCGCAACTCCTTCCCGAAACATGTTCATCTCTCTCTCTGTCTCGATCCAATAACTCATATTTGTACTTATCCCTCACCCCGCATCGTCGTTCGATCAATCGCATCATTCGTAGAAAATAATGGTAAGCGAGTTGCACGCAAAAGAAGAGATCATTATTTTATCTTGAAAATGTAACAATTGTATATTTCTTTCAACTTAATAATTAATTTACACTCGATGACATGTTGTATTCTCTAAATCCTCACTAGAAATCTATTGCGATCTGCGCTTAACCCTGGATTTCTTCTGAAACAACATTTAAGGATAAGTTTGAATAAACGCTAAACGACAAAATTGATTACAATTAATGAGTTAATTTCTCTGTATCTGTTTACAGAATCATCTTTAGTCAGAAGACTGTCAAGTAGCAGAAGTAATTCAAGGGTTAAGCCAGCGAATAATATTAATATTACAAATTGCAACAGTATACATATATAATATTATTATACAATTTTATGTGTAACATGTATTGTTATATCATTTACATAATTATTATACAACAATATCATGTTTCGGATTATAATTATATAAGTTATAATTATTATAACTTATATATGTTATATAATATCGAATTGTAATAATTATAATATTACACATATTATAATATACATTATATACATTATACATACACATAGTATAATATACATTATATACATTATACACACACATAAATACATATTATATATATTACATTTATATTATATAATATAACTTTATTACAATTATTATATTATATTGAATTGCAATAATTATAATATTACATATACTATAATATATGTATATTATATGATTATATAACATTATATACATAGTACATACATATTATATATATATATTACATTTAAATTATATAATATGTATATAACATTATTATAATTATTGCAATTTGATAAGAATAAATGAAATGCTTCTAGCATTCGAAAAATATACATATATGTACAATATATACGACGTATATGCAATATATACGTATTCGATTCGACTTAAATTCGATTCTCATATGCAGAGGCATAGATGATGTCGAGTGTAAATATCGAGAAGAGTTCATGCTGCTCTTTTATTATGTTAGATATAAAAGTATTTAAAAGAAGCTCATATATACATATATATATATATACACCTATGCATATTATATATCTCAAAACACGTAACACAGAAGCAATATCCGTATCAGTCACTAAATTTTATTTTGATTAAGGCGGCTCCAGACGACATGGCTAATATATGCTAACTTCACATACATTCATTAAAAATTGACTTACATTTACATGGATAATTATGCACGTATGCGCGCGCGCGTGTATGTGTGTCTGTGTAATATTTGCTAATGTGACATATATTAACCATACCATCTAGAACCACCTTTATACATAATAGAATGTCATAAGTTTTTACTTATGAAAAAAGCTTATCTGCACTTATGCATATTTTATTCTAGAAACACGTAACAGAAGTCATTATCATTCCGTATTAGTCCAATCACTAAATTTTATTTTGATTAAGGCAATTCCAGACGACATGGCCAATATATGCTAACTTCACACACATTTGTTAAATATTGGTTTACATTCATGCAGATAATTATGCATGTGTGTATGTGTATGTAATATTTACTAATGTAGAGTACACTGGTGTATATTGATCATATCGTCTAGAACCGCCTTTATACGCATAATAGAATGTCATAAGATTTTACATTCTATTATGAAAGAAGTTTATATATATCTATTTTCTCAAAACGCGTAATAGAAGGCATATCATTCCGTATCAATTCGATCACTAAATTTTATTTTGATTAAGGCGACTCCAGATGATCATACGGTCAATATACGCTAACTCCACACACATTTGTTAAATATTGGCTTACATTCGTGTGTGTGTGTGTGTGTGTGTGTGTATGTGCGCGCGCGTGTGTGTGTAATATTTATTAATGCGGAGTACACTGGCGTATATTGATCATATCGTTTTTAGAACCGTCTTTATTCGTACAAAATGTCATAAATTTTTACTTATGATAATTCATTATTGCAATCTTTCGCACGTTCTAAATGATTAAAATAAAAAAAAGAATACGAAAATGATAGATAAAAGCATGATGTAACAATACAATATGCCATTGTGCATAATGGTGGCTAAATATAATTTGAACTTATTTCTGAATGGTGACAAATTTCTAATAACTATTTTATATTGGCTCCAACAGAATTTGGAATCAATTTTTAATTGATCTACTAGATATGAAATTATCACACTTGGTATTCTTACATCACGGATGAAAAAATTTCAGATTAAATGTAAATACTGAAATTGATTGCACAATTTTGATTTGTGATAAAAAAGTTACATAATATTATATAACATGATCTGCTCTGAAATTAAAGCGTAAGAATAGAACTTGAATATAAGAATTGATCAAACGATCGTTTACAGATAATAATTATACTATTTCTCACTCGATGAGTAAATTTTGTATAATCTGTACTTGTACAAATGCTTAAATATATAAATTATTTTTATGTTAAAATTTTAAATTTTATAAAAAAAAAGAAATGCACACTAGATTTACTTAAAATCACTCGAATCAATTTTTCTAATTGAGCAAGTCCTCGATATCTCGCATAATATCGTCAGCTGATGTATCCAATCGCAGGTACTCCTCATCGATTTGCGTACACTGTTGATCATACGGTTGGTCTG